GTGCCCTTTGTTCTCCAGCTTTGGCTGCAGGGGGTTTCCCCACAGAAGACTCTCAGCATAATGGCTATTCATGTCTCAATTCTCACCAAGGCACCAATATATCCATTTCCAGAGCAGAAATAAAAGCTGGATGTACGTTCCTGCCCTGTTTCCTCTCAGAGCGACACCTGTAATTCCTAATTCACAGCCCTCTGATTATGGCAGAGGGTCTGGTGTTGACTGAGCTCTTGCTGGCCCAGATGCATGGCTGGGCACTTCTCCTGAGCTTTTTCAGGTCATCTTCACGGGGTCGCCTTGTGGGGGATGTACATCACTTTCATCTTATAGATGAAGAAACAGAATCTCAGAGTCCAGAGGGCCTCCCTGGGCGTGGGGTTGAGCCCCAAGTCGCCGTGGCCATCATGCTACCTCTGGCTTAGAAGCCACTGTCTGAAGCCCAGAGTAAGGAGGCGGATCCCAACTGCTCCTACCTGTGTGAGGCTCACCTCACCGTGGTTGAGGGGGGAGTCATTACAAACTGACAGTAAGGTCGCCTGCTTAGATTTTCTGTTATGTATAATCAGGAGCCCCTGTGTGTTTTTAAAATATGATTTAAATGGGATGAATGCCCTTGTAAGAGAGGTTGAAGGGGTGCGCCAGCCCCTTTGGTCCCTTTGGTCCCTTTGGCCCTATGTAGACACAGCAAGAGGGCACCGTCTTTGAAGCTGAGCAGGCCCTCAGCAGAAGCAGAATCTGTTGGCACTGTGATCATGGACTTCCCAGCCTTTAGAAATGTGAGAAATAAATTTCTATTACTTATGAATTACCCAGTGTAAGGTACTTTGTTATAGTCCTGAATGGACTGAGACTGATGATGGCATATGGAAAAGGATTTTAAAATGATGTGCTAAAAAGGTTGAGGGGCGTTCTTCTGATGGGTGCAGGGAATGATGAGACCACAGCAGGCAGCAGTCTAGGTATGCATTCAGCCAGGTTTCCACACGAGGAAGGGAGGGGAGAGATGGGCTGAGCCTGAGACTGACGGTGGAGGTGAGATGGGATCCGGGATGAGTGGTGCTGACTGGCGGGGGCAGGACACTAGGGCAAGGCACAGAGGTTGAAATTGACTCCAGATTTCTTGTTTATGCCTGGACAGCTGTGAGGAGGCGGTGCCCACGACAGTGACGACAACACAAGGGCGGGGGAGAAGGGCAGCCCCTTTGGCAGTGGTCTCTTTGCTGTAAGCAGAGGCCACTCCAGACACACTACCCAGTTCTTCCTACTAAAATTGGATGAACAGGGAGGTACACAGAGCAGATCTGGGCCAGAGATCAAGACAGGATACCCTCTTTTCAGGATCACCTCATCTCAGTGTTCTGGGGCAATCCAAGCCCTGATTTGGAAGGACTCTGACAAAGTACACAATGAACAATGACTGTGCTAGCTCCCTCTGAAGGTTTGAACGGGCCAGCAGAGCTCAAATGCATGTATTAAAAAATGATAATTGAGTTACTACAATAATACAGTATCATATGATTTTACAGGATGGGTCAACTTAAAATTTCACCAGTTCTGTCTTCTGTCAGTGTTAAAGTTTGTATCTTTACAGTTCTCATGTTATAGCCATTGATACTACGGTCAAATAGGCAGGTGCCCACTAGAGGAAAATTATGCCAGAGAATAAGAAATGATTCAGGTTTTTTTTCCTTAGTATTTTTATCAGGTATGTTACTCCTTGGAGAGTGTAGAAAATATTTGTTTAAAATATTCCTAATTTGATGGTACTTTCAAAATCTGATTTAGTCAGACCATTAAAAATTGTACAAATCAATAGCAATTACCTACTTCTAATTGAATCATTATCCCCGAAGAAAAGTGCTGTTAGAACACTGTAGACTTCAGGTCATCTGCAATATACCTCCACTCTCATAAAAAAGAAATAACAAAAGGAAAAAATAAAGGGAAACATAAAAACCAAAATAAAAGGAACACCTCATTTTATTTTATTATGTTAATCTAATCCCCAGGTAGAAAGAATGACCTTCTGTTGTACTTCGATGTTTAAAATCTGGCCAATGTTTAATGTTTACAAAATTATTTTTAATTTTAAGAGAGTATAATTTACCAATTAGATTAATTGTGTTTATTACTGCCGGGAGACTGCAAAGAGTCTTATTTTTAGTTCGTAACAGAAGCTTCTGTAACCCTTTGGATCATGGCTGGGATTCTGTATTTTTATTATAGCAAGAGCGCTTTGATGCTTGGATGTGTTAGGGAAGGATAGCCATATCAGAACGTTTCGTCGAGCCATCTCTCCCTACTTGTTAATTTGGCACCTCTCAATCATACATTTTTTAAAACACTCATTATTTCACATAACATATAAATTTATATAGCATCTTATATACAATTTTAATGCATTCAGACTCCTAAAGCTATAATTCATTATAGCATTTTATTTTATTTATATTAATATATGTGCCTTGAGTTAATACTCTAATCATTTGCAAACTCAAGCTTTGTCTTGATAAATTTTTACTTTTTGACAAATTATACTACATTAGTTTGATATATTTGCAAAATGTAAATACCTGCCTTTCCCATTTCACTTTCGTTGCTATTCCCAAAACACTGGGACATTGCTAGTCCAACAGGTATATTGAGGACCAGCATCTTCTCAAGTCTGCACAAAAACATTTCTGCAATGTCATTATCTAAAGTGTTCAATTTTTAGTTATTTGGAATATGCCTTCTGCAAGCCTTTTTTTTTT